GAATCATGAAAAAATATTGAAAATTTAAAAAATTATAGCTAAAAAACGTCTGCTAAAAAAGACGAAAATAATTATAATCGCTATAATTTTGTTAATTTTCAATATTTTTTCATGATTCTGCTTCAGACGATAGCCACACTCAAGTAGATTAAGAATCCTATTGCTTGTTTGTTTCAGATAACTACAACAGCTGCAATCGTGGTCACCGTTTTTTCGCAACGTTCCAAAAAATGGCTGGCACGAGCTTTAATAACAGATATAAAATTTTGAAAAAATTGGTATGCACTCTTGAAATATAGTAAAATATGTGGGAAAGTGGGAAAGGTTGTTCATCAATTGGCTTTGTCGTTTTCCTTTTAAAAATCATTTATTTTAGGCCCTGTCACACTAGGGAAGCCCCTTAAGTAAATCAGAATAATTTTATAATAATTTTAGCGCAATAATTTTATGTCCCTAAATAAAAATTGTTATAAATATTGGACCAACAACTCTTTTCATTAAAATATAAGGTACTAAGAGCAACTTTGATCAAATTTCTATTAAATTAATTGGTGATCAATTGCTTATATCAGTAGAATTGTTTATAGCAAGATTTCTCACCATATAATTAATAACTTATCAAAACACCGCAGATAAGACACTACCGGATAAGACAATTAGATCAATCGGAGTTTGTTTGTAAAAGTCATTCTAAGCATGATAAAAAGACCTGTATTTTTATATCATGATTCTAAGAATGACTTCATGAATACGAAATATTTTAAGTAGAATTATAAATATACGCACAAGTGTATACAAATATATATTCACCTTATCAAAGCCTACGGATTCTAATCTCTTTCCAAGAACTTCCCCGACACCAGCGAGCTCAGTCACAGGCTTATCCCCCATCGGCTCGGCCACGAAGTTCCTGTGCTTCTGCGATGTACTCATTTTGATCTGTAAAAACGACAACTTTCATTTTCCAATCCGTCATTAAGCGAAGCGTTCAGTCTGCGTTAAGCAAGAAACCACTTTACCAATTCATCACTAATTGCACTGTTGCTTCATAACCTTAAAGCCAACGAAGTATCTGTTGTTTAACGTAATTTATGAAAACATTTCGCACAAAACTCGCCGGGAACAAACGAAATAAGTTGGAAAAGTGGGCAACAAACAATGGGCAAGCTTAACAATCAGAAATATAAAAACAAATTAAGACACGAATGACCCATTACCTGTGAGATTCTTCCTCGATTGTATATATCGCGACCGTCGCGGGGCGAACCAAGTTTTGAGAGTGCCGAATTCAGAATACTTCGAACGCCGCTTCGTGCAGATAAGACGCAATCTAATCTACCGGAAATTATTCACAAATTTTTAATGTAATCGAAAACCGCTTCTTCCTCAATTCCACAGTATATAGATAAGACCAAGCGTCTCTCTGCTTACGCTGTGTCAACAGATTTGTCTTAACTCGTGTTTGTCGTTGATTCAAATTCCTACATTCCTAAAATTTCCTGCACTTGAAACGAGATAAATATACATTGCACGTTGGAGAAAGAGAAAGCGAAGATTCTAGATTCTATAAGTGCAAAAAGTGCAGGAAACACGAACAGATCTTAGCCTTCATCGAACGTGGAATAGATATATCGAGTAGAGCGGAATATCAATTTTTTTTTTGACTCGTCACGTGGACGGACGTGGTCGCGCGGCGCTACTGAAAAAGCCAAAACTCGACCGTAATTTTTATTCTACATTTTTAGCGTTTCCACAGTCAAAATTATATCTGTAAAAATGAAACCTGTGCTTATTCTTGCAGATAGAAATTGTAATACACGTATAAACTTCGTTTATTACCGCAGAAAAAAAGACAAAACGAGAAGTTAACCAGGATGCGATATTTGAAAAGAAAATTTTTTGCGATCTGAAATTTTTCAAAGCAACTTATTGTTAGACAGAGGCAGGATTATAAATGAATAAAACACATTAAACGATATCTCAAACTTTAATCACTAAGGGCGACTTCAATCAAACTCCCATTAACTTAATTATGGCAATTAATTTCAATCGGCAGAATTGCTTAAAACAATTTCTAACTGTGTATAGTTGGTTGTCAATCCAATCTTTTGTTTCACTTCAAAAAACAAAAATTTAATAACTATGTTAATAAAATAGTGCGAGTATTCTATAATTCTTAACAGGGCTAGAATAAAATAAACTTTTTTATTGTTTAATGAAAAGAAAGATTAAATTAAGGACAACGAAAATTATACAGTTAGAAATCTTGCAGCAATATTCTGCAATCAATCATTTAATTACATTAATCGGAGTTTGGTCAAAGTCACCCTAAGACCATATTTTTCTCCACAGTAACTGTAACGGGAGAATGCCGTTTCTTTTCTGTAGCGTTGGATGGAAAACGTCGAAATCTGCTTTCCTTAGTTTCTCTAAATAATTCTCCACACAGACTGTCGGTAGAAATATCACGTTGAGATCTTTCCCTGCCTTCTTTTTAAGCGACGTCGCCTAAAACGAAAGAAAGGTAATGTCGTGTAAGTCGAGAACTTTTCCAACTTTTTCAGCTAGATGCGAAAAGTATAAAACATGCAGACTACAAGCCGAGGATACAGATTGACTTGTTACTAGTCAAACCCCAGACAAGAATGCTATTATCTATTGTACCACTTTCAGATGCTGCTTAGCGCAAGACGCGACTTCGAGTACAGCGTCTTGAAATCCAGCGCTCGACTGTCCCTGAAAGATGGACTCGGAGGAAACGCCGTTTTTCAGCAGAATATCCTGCGGCAATACCATTACTCGTTTCCGGGCGTTATACGGCACAGAACGTATCAAGGTGACCAGGCCGTACGCCCTGCCGAAGTGGCTGGCCGCGTGATCGGCGTTGACGCTCGCCGTGCCCTGTGCTTCTAATAACAAATAATAGATCGACGATGTGGTATAGTCGCAATACCTCTCGAGCGACTCCAGGTCCACGAATATCGAGCCGTTTAGTTTGTTCAAGCGAGCGTCAATCAAGCGCTTGAAATAGCGTTTAGATAGCTTGTGCCGTTGAAGGATCTGCAAGATGCGGAAGACCTCTGATATCCAGCAACAGTCATGCAAATGCGTATCGCAATGCGTTCTGTTCATCTACCCTGTGTAACTCCAACGCCACGGGACTCCTCGGCGGATTATCGTTATAAATTCCGTTCAGGGCGTCTGTCCAAAACTGTAATCGCATAGCGCCTATCCTACTGTCCCTTACTTGATCCTCCACTTGTGCCACTTCGACATTAAATGCTCGTACAGCAAACGCTGTTGATTTAATACCACGTGGAAGCAATAGCGTGCACAGAAAGTTCTCATAATCGTTGTTCCTAGAAAGACAATATGTGTAAGCACAACTTTGAGTGAATCTTGTTGGAGTACCTTTCCCTAATACAATTCCACAAATTTTTAGCACAATTACTCTGATGTATTCTGCAAGAAATTTTTGTTTTATTCCACAGAAATGTAGAAGGTGCATTTAATTCCATCTCCATTCCTCAGGAAATTTTGAAAAACCTAAATTTATTTGGATATGTCAACGCAACGTTATAATATCTGGGATATACCAACAATATTATATCACATACTGGTTGTAAGAATATTGTAATATGTACTTATATGATATAAATATGATTGTACAATTCTTGTTTATATTTGTGCAGCTCCGGTTTATCATAGCGAAGGCAAGTACCTAACCAGCTGCAAACAATACTCGGTCGGAGTTTGTTTTTGCCTCGCACCACTCGTGTTCATACGTCGCAACTGCGATCGCACATTTTGCTCGATAATCGACAGTTTATTCATCCTTTTTAGTCTAAAAATTTGTACTAAATCTAGCGATGTAAATAATCGCACGACGGGAATGACATCGAATAATAAAATTGTCTGTCGTGACGTAATATTTCGTTGCAATTCGCTACAATTTTAAATAAAAACATTCGAGGTAACCTATAAACCATGTTCAAAATAATCAAGATTACTAGAGAGCACGCTTGACAACAAAATTACTCCAATATATTTTCTTGAAGTTCCTAGATTTAAATATTGGCGACACTACCGGATTGACCTTGCCTAACTTCACGCTTTACTCCACTTTACTCGCAGAAGTAAACATGGCAAAGTTATTAGGGTTGGATAAAGTCGCAACGTTATTCCGCACGGTACGCGACCACGGTGGTATTATCGGCTCCATCAAAACATTGTTCAGGTTGTTATGCAGTCATACGGTTATATTAACGATACAGCGAATGTTTCAAAATATTACGGCTTTTCACTACTGCCAGCATTGTGTAACTCGGCTCTGCATTTGCTCCTTGAGCTTGTAACTTGTTCAAACTTTACTGTCATCGTGCTTTTGCATAAAGTATTTTGCAGCGTGTCAATTTGATCTCGCAAGTAACATTGTCAATACAAACTGATTTGACAGGGTGGATGAGCTGAAGAGCGGTACCCTGGTTGGAGAAGACAAATATGGAAATCGATATTACGAAAATAATATGTACTTCGTAGGTGAGTTATTAAGTACACTAGTATGGCATTGTAAAAGCAACTCGATGTCACATGTATATAGACACTCATATTCAT